CGCGATCATTTAAATCGCGGCTTCATTTGCCTTTGCTGATCTGTCTAATCTACATGCCTCTGCCGACAGAGGCATGTAGTCTAGACACAGCCTAATTGAGCTGCAGGGCTAGAAGAACCAGCTCGAACCTTAGGTTTGGGAAAGACCTACTTGTTTGCAGCATTTTTATTGTTTATTGCAGAATTTTTTCCAACTCTCATGATTTTTTCAAGTGTGCGTGTCTCCACACTTCAGGGCAGGAGTGTGTGTGTGTGACCCAGGGCAGCACAGGTGTGCACCCTCCTCACCAAGGCCAGGACAGGGGTGTGTGTGTATCCTCCCCCCACACACACACACGCACTAAGGACAGGGCGGGGGGGGGTGTCCCCCAGGGCAGGGCGGGGGGTGTGTGTGTATCCTCCCCCCACACACACACACGCACTAAGGACAGGGCGGGGGGGGGTGTCCCCCAGGGCAGGGCGGGGGGTGTGTGTGTATCCTCCCCCCACACACACACACGCACTAAGGACAGGGCGGGGGGGGGTGTCCCCCAGGGCAGGGCGGGGGGTGTGTGTGTATCCTCCCCCCACACACACACACGCACTAAGGACAGGGCGGGGGGGGGTGTCCCCCAGGGCAGGGCGGGGGGTGTGTGTGTATCCTCCCCCCACACACACACACGCACTAAGGACAGGGCGGGGGGGGGTGTCCCCCAGGGCAGGGCGGGGGGTGTGTGTGTATCCTCCCCCCACACACACACACGCACTAAGGACAGGGCGGGGGGGGGTGTCCCCCAGGGCAGGGCGGGGGGTGTGTGTGTATCCTCCCCCCACACACACACACGCACTAAGGACAGGGCGGGGGGGGGTGTCCCCCAGGGCAGGGCGGGGGGTGTGTGTGTATCCTCCCCCCACACACACACACGCACTAAGGACAGGGCGGGGGGGGGTGTCCCCCAGGGCAGGGCGGGGGGTGTGTGTGTATCCTCCCCCCACACACACACACGCACTAAGGACAGGGCGGGGGGGGGTGTCCCCCAGGGCAGGGCGGGGGGTGTGTGTGTATCCTCCCCCCACACACACACACGCACTAAGGACAGGGCGGGGGGGGGTGTCCCCCAGGGCAGGGCGGGGGGTGTGTGTGTATCCTCCCCCCACACACACACACGCACTAAGGACAGGGCGGGGGGGGGTGTCCCCCAGGGCAGGGCGGGGGGTGTGTGGCGCCCCGCCCCCGGGAAGGTGCCTGGGGGATGCTCCCTCGCGCCCCTCACTCACCCGGGCTCCCACTCGCCTGTCGGAATCTACAGTGCAGGATCCCGTTGCCTAGTAACCAGACGCCGCAGACGGAACCATCTCTGGCAGTGGGGGGGAGCCTTTTTCTGCACGTTCGTTAATACAAACTAAGGTAAGACACATACACACTCCTACGGAGGACACGGAGTGTATGACTGTGGGGAGTTACTACCTTTCCCTCGCTCCTCTTTATCCACCTTGATGATGAAGTTCTACTCGAGGGATGCCCCTCCCGAGACTTGGTAGCGCCTGGAGCGGTACCACTCCTGGAAAAAAAAGGGGGGGACAACCATTATTTACTTACCATCAACGTGGCGCTTCTCCGGATCACTGGCACCGGGAGGATGTCCCTGCGCAGAAGAGTCCTCGCCGCAGGCTGAGGCGGTCGTTTATCCACCTTGATGATGAAGTTCTACTCGAGGGATGCCCCTCCCGAGACTTGGTAGCGCCTGGAGCGGTACCACTCCTGGAAAAAAAAGGGGGGGACAACCATTATTTACTTACCATCAACGTGGCGCTTCTCCGGATCACTGGCACCGGGAGGATGTCCCTGCGCAGAAGAGTCCTCGCCGCAGGCTGAGGCGGTCGGGTTCTCTCTGTTTCTGTCTCCCCTCCCTCCGCGGTTACAGTTGGTATATACCGACTGAGGCTCAGGCCAATCAGAGCGGCTGGTGTTGGGAGGTCACGTTCCCCTCCTACCTCCCCCCCCCCAAGACCGGAAGGTGACATTGGGGGGACGAAGCGGCTCAGCCGGGGGCGGCGTCATG